AAATTATTATATCATTGTTAAGGTAGTTTTTTAAATTTCCCTTTACATTTTTGACAAGGAAACCTATTTTTTAGTATTTTTTAATTATACAGATTTCGTAATAAATTTACTTTTTACCTATACTTAATTAATTCAAGTAAAAACATCCATAGCGTGTATTTGCGATATTCAAATTATTTAAATTTACTTTGTCAGTAAGCTCATCGATGGCTAGTCTTAAGTTGAGCTTAAAGTTTTGTTACGTACGAAAAATCATTACCCCATCTATGTTTTACAACTCGCTACAACAATAAAGACGGTTGCTAAATACGTTTTTCTTTATGAATATCATTTGTTAATACTATGTTGCAGTGAAACATCGGTTTGAGTAGTCCATATTATGATCGTGTGTTGCTTTGTGGAATTTTGCGTAATTAAGTTCCAAGTGGCAACTTGTGCCGAACAATTATCAAAGCTAGATTCGTATGAAACATACAATGTTGTTAATGATGGACAAATAATGCAAACAACAGTAGACATTGTATTTTTATTGTGGTGTCTAGAACAATCTAGTATTGTATGACTAAAATATTTTATTGAAAACGCTTAAATAAGTTGCACGTGATTATACATAAGTGTAGTTTTTATTCGCGTCTTTATACGAGTTATAAAAATCAGGCAGTTTATTATGAAGTACACTAAGTACGCATTATGAAATTATTGCTATTAATGTAATAGAAAGTAGTACTGATGTAAGAATGTTCCTTTTAACGTTATTTTTATGATTTTAAGTATAATGAAGTCAGTTCAATTATTTATTGTTCGTCTTCAGCCTTCCGCAACCCCTAATTGGGTGAGGAACTCTTCACTCAGACGGTCTTTTCTCTGATCTTGAACTCTTGCTTTTCCGTACACTTTAGTAATTAATGACATCGACTTTCGCTGTTTGTCGATGGAAGCATCTTCTTTCTGTTCATAGCCTTCACTTCAGTGCTCTATGTCTCGATCTTCTATCCGTCTTACATGTCCTGCCCAATGTAATTTCAATATTCAGTCAGTGAATTTTAGTATCAAAAATTCAATTGGAATAAATCTGGGTTTTATCTTATAGATAGGTATAGATAATAAAACCGGTCAAGTGCGAGTCGGACTCGCGCAAATAGGGTTCCATATCGGAAACGAAGAAAATCACGTTAGTATTTGTTGTTGAAGCGGCAATAGTAATACATATGTGAAAATTTCAAATGTTTAATTTTCTCAAGATATAGCCTGGTGACAGAAAGATAGACAGCGAAGTCTAAGTAATAAGGTTCCCGTTTTACCCTTTGGGTATCGAACCCAAAAAATACTTAAAAAATTAACAATTGGTGCCCAAGTGCCTTATAGTCGTACCCTTTAAGTTATATGAAAGATCATAGTGTGACGCGTTGTGGTATCTACGCGCACTGTGACGCATGATGGTCCCCAGCCGTTCACCTTTAGAGAAATCTTAATTAATCACCCGCATTGAGTCAGCTATGAAAGCAAAACCGCATCAGACCTCGTACCGTTTGTGACCGACCGTTTTATTAAGCGATAAATTTTAATAAGCACCGTATAATGTCTTATTTTACAACCGTGTTACGTAATTGTTAAAATATGAACACGGCTTTAGTGTCGCACGCCCGGAGTATGGACTTTATGAGTGATGACTTAGGAGTTTAGTTTTCCTCTTCCTTTCTGGTTGCACTATTATTTTTTGTGTTCATTTATCTACAAAGTATATCGTAATAAGATAATAAATTATAGATCGGAGACAGAGTATGTGACTCAAACGATCATTGTAAAAACTTGATAGTTGACTATAGGAATAAACTTTAATTTCACTTACTCCTTAATGACGATAGGACGACAAGGTAAATGATACGTTCAAAGTTGTTTGACAAAATCAGTTTATCAGAATATTTGTATCATTGTTTTTTCCCTGATATTGTTTTTTCCCCGTTATTCAAGTATTAAAATGCAAATAATAAAAAAATGTTTGCCTGTTTTCGTCATTTCCATTACACCACTGTTCATGAAAAATACGTGACCAGTGCCACATAGTACATACATTAGGTATATTCTGCGAAAATACAAATTTCCTGATAAATTTCTTAACGCATACTTAACGCTGTTGCACTTTGATTTATGCTGGATTTTACAAGTGCGTACATTTTGTAATATTCTGTGGAATTGTCACGTCAATAGTTCAAGATATCTTGTTCTAGTGATTCATCTGCGCATAGTTCGTCGAAGAGTTTTCTTCAGAATTTGTGATTTATGAATCATACTAATATTCAAATTCAAAAGATCCTAATCTACATTTTTATTAAATATTTTCATTCTAATTAAAGAGGAGTAAACTTATGAGATAGCATTTTTAGTATTAACCGTATCACACGGAGTAAGAAGAAATACAATCGATAGATAATATGTTTTAAATCCACAGTATTGTCTTCTGCTTACCTACATTATAATTCATTCAAATTCAGTTTAGAAGTGAATGGATGACAAAAACAAACAAATATATTTTAAATATATATATCTGTTTGTTTTTGTCGCCGTTTTGTTATAAACTCGAGCTAAATAATTCGTTGTATTGATATTATTATAATAAATGGCTTTTATACTGTTACTTCAAGTGTACATAGGTACAAAATATTTTACAAAAAGTTCACAATAATATTTTCGCATGTTATACCAAACGGTTGCCGTTGTCTTTACAACTCCCGTCTGTAACGTTTTATATCTGATTTCGGCACTTAAACTCTTTAATGTCCACGTAAAGTAGAGTCTCGTGAGATGTTTATCTCCTAACTTACGCTGCAATCCTGGTACCGTAAATGGAGTTTAGTATTAATAAGAAGATGGTAGATTGCTTTTTTTTTGTGCGAATCTCGTTTTGGTAGTTTGCAGTCGTGATGAACAGATGTCAAAGTATATGTATTACATTTTGTTATATTTAGCTGACTGAGAAAGTAAGATTACGTGTTACGAGTTAAGCTTTAGTTCGTTTTGACAATCTTAAATTTTCGTTAGTTAAAAACATTTTTTAATTAGGTAATTCGTTGTCATGAAAAGGTGTATTATTATTTGTGTAATGCCTGCGTCATATGCCACCCGCGTATGATGTAGCTTGTCGTCATTGAAAGGATTTTCATGATCGGATTAGCATTTCCGAATATTACCCCTTACAAACAAAGTTAGAAATTTTACCTCTTTATGATATTAAAATGTAGATAATATTTTTACTATCACAATAGATAAGAAAATGAATTTCAATATTCAACCCATGCTCAACACCTGAAATGATTTATTAAATGGACAACAGTTTCTACTGTGACCATATGGATAAAAGCTTCAATTACGCAGAACTATGAAATCTAGAAAGTACAACACTACCCCCCTGAGGTCATGGTAATGACAGAAGCCGAAAATCATCACCAATTTAAGTACAGAAGTACCGGTGCCAAAATAAGTGGAGGTCATGTGTGTGTCGTGAGTGAAACCCACGGTAGCGCCGCGAGCCACCGGCCGCTTTCCCACACACCGGTAAACTGTTTGAAGAAAGTATGTAATCAGTATATTTTATCATTTTTATTGCGAGAAAAATTATGTGAGATTTCGATTTTTATAAATTTTAATAATTTATCACACAAAATTAATTAAAAGCTTGCTTATTATATGTTTTATTTTCAAGATACGTATAGAGATGCTGAAATACATAATTATTGTTATCACATGAAATCTAAACAAAATAATTGTTCTATCAAGTGTCATGATTTTAATATTGGAACACGGATGATAAATTTTCATCATCATTGTTTTGTAGGCACAGGAAGCGCTATTAAAATAACATAAACTTGTACAGAATATTTATTATATTTGGATAAAGCGTACAACATACATTATCAATAACTCATGTATCTTTAACGTCTTCTAGAACGGTGTCATTCCGTGGGTTGTCCGTATAAAAGTCGCATAAAATCCGCCTACTATTTCCCAGCAGCTTACCGCGCCGCTACCTGTCCGTTTCATTGAGCACGTGGTGGGGCTGAGCCTTCCGCGTAACGTTATCAGTAGTTCCGCACCCTCTCGCGTGCAGTTGCCAAACGCACCCGCGCTCAGTCGCACGTCTACCATTCATTCGTTGACACATCCAGTCGCTTTACATCCACGCACTTGGTTCGTGATTTGAAACCTTCCTCGTCTTGTTTTACGAACTATTTTCGTGACGTTTCTAAATAAGTTAAAGGTTATGTTTAATATAGTGAAAGTGTATGCGTATGTATTGCTCGTAAAGCAATAAAGACTGTAGTAATCTCTACATTAAAGGTGCGTATTTTAATACTTTATTATAACTATTGCGATTTAAATAATCTTGGTATGATTATGCTTAATGATACGTTAAGAAAATAAATATAAAAAGTGGTAAAGTGGGTATTATGAATAATTTCGTTTACTTATTTTTCCACTTGTTTCTTTTTGTATAAATTTAGCCATTACGATGTAGTTATTGTAGTTATATTCAGGTATTTACAATTTTTTTACTGTGTATTATATTTGATCAATTTCGCATTCATAATTCATAAAGAATATTTTCCTGTGAATTTTAATTTAATGCTGTGCGATACATATGTTCTTTATTTTTCGGATAGATTTACTTAGATTCATTTTCTCAACATTAACCATACTCTATATAATTTCAAACAAATACGATTCATTATTGAACTTAGAATAAAATTTCCTTAATAACAGAGCAACATAAAGAATATTTAAGCCAACACAATTATCATCGACAGTCATTTACTTTATGACAGTCTAATTGCGTTATGATGTTTACAAATTATAAAAACAATAAACACTCGGAGCGGTATTAAAAAGGCATGTAATAAGCGGCGGCAGTGCCAACCTACATTCTTATCAAAACGCAAAGTATAGGCGACCTTACAGCACCGTAAGAAAGTCGCGACTCGCTCTGATAAGCTATCACTCTACAGGCCAAGCCCCGCCCGCAAAGCATCACATCATAGACCAGACAAAATGTTCGCTGTGATGCAGATCGACGAAGATCACACGCGGGATTTCAGACGCAAGCTGCGTCCGAAATGCGAGTTCGTGTGCAAATACTGCCAGCGGCGCTTCACCAAGTCCTACAACCTGATGATACATGAGAGGACCCACAAAAGCCCGGAGCTCTCCTTCAGCTGCGAGGTCTGCGGGAAGAGCTTTAAGAGGCAGGACAACTTGCGCCAGCACAGGTGAGTTACTTATTCACTTATTTATTAACTACTGGTGAGGTAAAACACTCAATTATTGGCACTGCATAATACATGAAATATGTAATTATGATAATGAAATAATGGAAATGGCTACTAATAAGCCATTATTAGTAGCCATTTCCATTATTATTCCATTATTTCCATAAAGTAACCTTTCAATTTATCTTATACAACGCCATTTTCGTTCTTTTTTGTTTGTATAATACTACAATGGAAGTGTTAATATTAGTTTGTTTACCTTACTTTATGTTACAATTAGGAGGTGACTGGAATATAAACCTATATTTAAAAAAAATAACTAACTTAAATACTTTTTTATGTCTATTTATAAAAGTTTAGATCTACGACTCTATAAATCAACAAACTGGTAGAAAGGGGTAAATAGCGGGAAGAAAAAAAATAAAGTGCTGATTTTTTCACACAGGCAGTTGAAAATCTCGTAGTTTCAGCAATCAACTGCCTCCGCCTTAGTATGGCAGAGCTGCGAAGAAACGAACGCTTACTATTTTACCATAGCAGCACCATAAATTATAGAATGCGAATTATGCACTAAAGTAAAATTTATGTGCCCATTAATGTTTAAATAGCGCCACCTATCACTGCACTGACGTTGATAATTACCTTCTCGTGTTATGTTCCCTGAAGTGGCAACCTTGGCCAAAGTTGCTTTGTGCATCGTTTGCTTCACCACAAGTTAGTCTGGTGACAAGGAAAGGCTGCGGCGCGCACGTCAAGTATTATTAAGGTCTGGTTAGTCACACGAGCCTGGATAGATCACAGTTATTCGCTACTACTGTTACAGGGGCCATATTCTAGAGAGTTTCACATAAAAAACACCACACTATCTTTACGTAGTCAACAGGTTTACCAAATCTGCATCAAAACTTGCATTACAGAACTTGTATCAAGTCATGAAATATTACATTACTCTTTTGGTAGGTAGCCGAGTTATAATTTTCCATTTTAACTATTATAACTGTTATACTACTTATTTTCCTAAACTTTCTAGGATTCATTTATAATGTCTGTAATCATCTTCAACATATTTTTTATTACTTATTGCTAATATTAATTTATTGTGAGGGAAAGAACATCAGCGTATTTTAACGATGCAGACACTAGATATTTTATTAGAAAATTAATAGTGATGATTTTCTTTCGGACTATTCCGTGATGAGTAATTATTATTAGAAATTTTTCCATTGACTTGTCTCACTAGACATCTCCTATTCTGTTGACATCTGAGTTGTCAACATGATTAGCATACAATGGATCAGTAGCTATTTAGCGATATGTCATGCAACTCTTAGAAAAAGGTTGAAAATTATGAATTATTTATATTTCGCCGTATTATAACCTATTCTCACAAAATGTAGTTATGTTTATTAAAGATTCGGAGAGTTATCAGTATCACTAGATTTCAGATTAAGGCTCTTAAAAAAATCGTTTTCATATAAAAACTCTTTTTAGCGTTGTATAGGATATGGATGGTACCGAATGGCAAATACCAAATTAAAGTCATCCATACTATTAAAAAAGGTTTAAACATTTAAAATAATTAATTTAAAGAAATTCGCAAGTCTTGTCTTGTGCTCTATACAAGTTTTAATCCATATTATAAATCTCCAGTGTAACCACGGACTTAGAATAAACGTAAAGATTTAAAGTCGACTGATTTCGCACAAGATCGAATGCAGCCTCCTTGTTGACCTTTTGGGATCTCGACCTATTAATGTCAGTAGATTTTCGTCATCGAACCACGAGTCATGTTGCCTTTAAAAATATGGCTGATAATTTTCTACGAATTCGAATAGCATTTGTTATAAAAATAAATTTAAATTATAACGATATAAAAAGCATAAAACACAGCAAACACAGCAAGCAAGCAATTGAATCGTGTTTAAGAGTAAAGAAGTAATAAACAACATTTCCTTTTTAAAAGCAACACTCCGCTAATATAGAAATTTTTTATGCGTAAAAAGGATCGATACTTAAATAAGTAGAAGTAATATTTAGTTTGAAGTTAAGGTATGCAATATTTAAACATTTTTCAAATATCTTCTAATCTCTTAGTCTTATTGAAATTAGACCGCATGGATAATTTGCAAATACACTTTGTACAAAAATATTCTGAAGGGATATAAGTGAAGCAACAACTTATTAAGATTACAATTCCTATATTTTACTAGGCTTTATAAATATTACTATACAGCCACATTAGTACTTAAAAGTTTAATAGTGGAATAAAAGGTATCTAAGCTTTAAAATTAAAAAAAAATGTTATCTGCACCGAAACAATAGTTGGTCCGTGTGAATCTCTGTACATCCGCGTTGGCTACCGAGATAGTGGATGCAGTGCTCACGCGTTGTCGTGCGCTCGTGACGTGGCCGTGTGTTAACGGTGCTTAATGGGCCCTAATGCTTCCGAAACTGTGCGAACGCGGACGGTAGCAGCCAAACGAACACGTGAATCGTACGAATCATACGCTAGGGTTGGGAGAATTCATCGATCGTAAGAAGCTATTGAGAAACAATAACTTGGAGGATATGGCTATAAGCTGTTAAAAGTTATTTCAATTAAACGACAATTCTATTTGAGTAATTTCATTGCGATAGTAAAAAATATGTTCAGATGGATATACAGAAACGAAATAAAATTTTACGTAATTGTCTCTTAAAATGTTTTAGGTATTAATATAGAGAAATCGTCGGCTGTAAGTTAAAAAACCATGTTTTTAGAAACACGCTCAAAATTTCTAGCAAAAAAATAAATAATTGAGTAGATAAATAATGAATTCGTAACTAAACACGCAAAAGAGAATTTGTTTTAAAATAATTTTATATCGAATACTAGCAAAATAAAACATTAAATATTATGTGTTATATTCTCAATTTCTCATCCTTGAACAGTCGTTGGCCCAATAAGGAGCTGCAATGTTCAGCGATTTGAACCGCAGTGTATGATTGGGGCAATTTGTCTGGCAATGTATGATGCTTCCTATTCGGGTGTATCGATTTCAGAACGGTACACGCAGTTACGATGTTGCGTTTAGGAATGATGTTACTCTATGGTTAACTTATGATCGCTGACGAGCCTTGAGCCTAGAGGAAATTTTCGAAAATGGAATGCATTTTTCTAAATATCGGTGTGTCGAACAGCCAAACTCACAAACGTCTATTAAAAAATAATCTTTAAATACCGATGCAAATTATCAAATTTAGAACATAATTTGGAATATAGATTTGTTATTAAACCTTAATGGATGTTTGTGCACTGACCTTTTTGAATCATTTTACATTTTACTAATAAGAAATTACTTATATATTTTTAATAATTTAAATATTTCGAAGTTTACGAACTTATTAGTTTTCTTTATGCCCGATACATCGATTCAAAATTATATGATGCAACCTAACAAGAAGAGTGCATGTTTATGGTTGAATAAAGAATACGATGGCGTGTGAAAAAATCGTACGCAACCACGACGACCCAAGGGCAATATGCTACTGTAACAGTACTTTTATTACATCACGAAATTTCTGATGAACCCTTGTTAATGTTGTATGTTTCCGTGAACATTTTTTGTTCCAGAAACATAAAAAAATATATAGTTTTGAGTACGCAAAATCGGTTATGTAATAATACAAAATTTTTCAAAAAGTCTATTTTGAAACTGCAAAGAAAATATTATCCATTCACTGTTCCTTTTTTTATGAATTAAAGCGATCATGTTCTTTATAAACGTTATTTTGTAACAAATAAAGTCGTATTTTCAATAAAAATACGCTATTAATGAAATCAAATTAATACTAGATTTTAACTCAGTGCATGTAGGTACGGAATTTAAAGATTTAAACCGACGATTGTTCAAAGATAAGACTTTACTATTGAAGGCAATTTTACAAAGTTTCTTATGAGGTGTCCACATCTGTTTGTATTAAGTACAAACAGATGTAATACAGTAATAGTTGGGACTTCTTAAATAACGATGAATGGCTAGTTTTTGTTTTTTTTTTTATTCAATATAGATTATTTTATTTGGAATTTAAACGTTTGGTTAAGTTAAAAAAATCCGACATGCCATATTCATTGACATTGTCATTCATTCATTTACATTTAAAAGCGCGTTCCCATTAAAAATATATATATTAAAAAAATCAAATTAGTTGGTCATACACATATAATAAGTAATTAATTTAAATATATTATAAGTAATTAGGTTAGGAAACTGTGGATATGTTTTAGGCACTCTTTTACTCTACTTATTAAAGTTTTTCGAAAGATCTAACCACTACATAATATTTATACTTTGTAGTTAAAAGTATTTGGAAATAGTTCAAAATGAATCAAGATATAAATTGAGATATATACATTGAGAACGTAAAGCAAATTATACACGAACATTTCCGGTATATTTTCAGGATTTAACCAAGCGTATAGCCACAATAGCTTACCCATAAACATTGTTCATATAATGAAAATCCTAATATAATTTTTGCAAAAATCTTTAAACTATAAAAAAGAACACAAGATTTCTAAGGTGCATATCATCCAAACAGAAGATACAGTTCAGTTAATTAAATTGCCAATAGTCTAGTCAGATGTCCTATTTAGTTAGCGATGTAGGTCATTGGCTCACGCGCCGTATTTCTCCTCTTATCGTTTCGCCATCCCGTTCACTCACGACTTGAGCCGAGTTGACATATTATCGATTAAAGGATCATCGATTAAATTACAATGACGTTAAATTTAATGTCGCTAGACAACGGATTTGATTGAATACCCATCACAACAATAAGTAAAATGTCGAGATACCTACTTATATCGAAATAATATACTTTTTTAAATAAAAATATCGATGACAATGATCCTTCTTACAAAACTCTTAACTAAGTAGATTAAAAAGTTACTCAGGTACCTTAATCTAAACGTGATAATCATAATAAATAAAGTTATCGGTTCTTTTATATATAACGAGATGGTACGTAAGTATTCGCAACGTTAACTAGTTGAATAAAGAAAATTCTTTTGTGTTATACAAATTAGAATTACATACGTTAATGATTATATGTTAGAATATTGTTTAGTGGAATCGGCCTTCTGATAATTGTGGTCGATTTTGCCATAATGGCGTGGTTGCGATCCGTTTAGATATCGCACTGCAAGCGTCGGGTTACACTATTGTTACCGTAGGTGCCGCTGGTTAATTAGGTTCCTTCGCAACTAAACTTAAAACTTATACAGCATGTATTCGGATTAACGTTTTTTTTTTACAAAAAAAGAGAATAACTTTTTTCATAAATTATAATAGGACTAAATCATCTTCATATGTTTTTGATTAGTAAGATAATCAGATAATACATTTTCTTAAAATATTTCATATATATAACCAAATGTCGTTATTTATTTGTTCATTGTATATTTATTTGTCTTTGTGTAAGAATACATTTTACATAATACTTCTAGATAAAATGTTGTTTTAAACATTAGAATGCTTGAACAATCACTTGTAGATATTTTTAAGCAAAGTATCTAAATCCAGGGATCAAGGCATAATCATGTAATTAATATTTAGTAAATAATTTGTTTGGTTGTTTCGATTAAACTGATCTTATGTGGTTTTTTATATCGTTATTTACGCAACGGGAAACATTACTTACTCTAACGAATGTGATTTTTAAAAAGTAACTATTAATTTTAAAAGAACTTTTTTCAAGAAAACAATATATATTTGTTACATCCTATATTTAAAAGCATAGCAGCTGTTTCCCACAGTCGCACATACAGGGTGCGCGCTCACGAAGTAACCTAGTCTGATATCGCGCGGAAGTGAAATGAATGCCGCCCTGTCACCTACGCCCTTTACACAATCTGGATCTGAGTTAAAGCCGATGTCGAAAACTATTCGATATCAATACAATACGATAATTCCTCACAACCTATATGACGACTGAATAAGAATTTTTATTTTCTCTTCTAATTCTTAGAAGATCATATTCAACTGGGGAACCAGACGAATTACTGGTTTCAATATTATCAATTTCGTTTAATGACTTTATAATTAAGTTTTTGAATATTTTGATATGGAAATTTTAATAATTACAAAATTCCATTATTCTATTGAAAGAAATTTTATAAATATCTATTGTAAGCGAATAGAGTAATTATAAAATTTTATAAATTAACGACTCTCTGTAGTATCAGATATTTAGATTTCGTTTATCTAAAGAAGTTTTAATATTTTCTATATTCATAGTGATGGACCGACAATATGATCGACGATGATACTACAAAGTGAATAATTCGTGACTCTCTTGTGAATTTTTATATACTACGAATTTTTTAAGACTGCATCGTCTGTCAAACAGTGATATTTAAAGATCATTCATTGTGGGATTTAGCGTACATCGAAAGATAAATAATTCAAAATAATATTTTTGGAATTTTTCTGTAGAAACATTTGGTCACAGTTAATAACGTTTTCTGAAAAAGATGTTGACCGTAAGTACGGTGGACGTTAATCCTCTTAAAGGGACGTGGCAACATTTCATTGTTGCTAACGAAACACCAAAAAGTTTCAAAGCTAATGAATTCCCGCCTCCTTTTTTAAGATTAAATCTTAATCTCGTTTTAGGACATCAACGGCATGTTCTAAAAAAAAACTTTGAAAAGTTACCGTTCTATGATGTTTTTTTTATCTGTTTATATTTATTGTTTTTGGTAAAGGTTTCTAGAGATACATAACTGACTAACTGTACACATTGCAACCTTTTTTTTGTAAAGCACCATATTAACGAATAATTTTCAAATCGGGTACATCTTTTATCGGAATTGGTTAACACTTTTTCAATTAACTACAAATGATATTCTACATAAATAATAAGAACACATTTAATATAATGTTTCATTGTTTGATTGAATATCTTATCAAAACGGTGTTCAGAAATATAAAAGATATCGGCGCCATTTTGATAATATTTTAGGATAACTAATGACTTTTTTTCTTAATTGTTGTAGATGTAGTCAATGCTTGTGGCGGTGAAGGTGATGGAGTAAGCACGATCATACCAGCGGTCTCTCTTACACATATTATAGAGTAAGATTTATTTTACATTTTATTCATGAAATTTCATAATTCACAAATACATTCATCTTATAAACGACTTTAGTTTTATTAAAATAAATGTCCAATGTTGTTATAGTGTAATAATTATTTCTGAAATGATATGGACCGCAAATATTATTGTTGAAATATAAATAATAAAAAAGGACAATAATTCGATCGTGCTATTATTTAAGCCCTACAAGCATTATTATTAACATGTTGACAGTTATTTTTAGAAGTTTTTCCTGTCATAAATTTGACTAATATAATTGTATTGTTGCAGAGAAATACATTACAATCCATCGAAGGAGACCATGTATTTAAGATGGTGACCACATCTCATGGGATTGTGACGTCACTACAAATAACAATTGCAACCTCTCTTCTTTTACGTAACAGTATTCGTGCTTCATCATTAACCACCGCCAGAATGGGATATTGCAATGTTTCGGTTTTAATATTAGGAATGTTACAGTTTTGGTTTTGCTATATTGATACATTCAATTTCTAATTTCAACGTTCTAAATTTATTAGCCTTTGTGATATTTACATTCAGCGTAAACTATAAACTGTTTGGTGCGACGGGGTTTGTTTGTTTTTTTTTCGGAACATGAAAATAAATGTACAAACAATTCTAATTTTAAAATTAGTTTGACATTCCATTAATATACATTTTGATTTAAGAATATTTGTCATTTGTTTTCCTGTTCTATTGATTATTGACAGCTGGACATTCTGGTGATTTGTAAATAGTATTTATTAGGTTAAATGATTAGCATTTAAAACAGCTTAACTGCTTAGCTATATTTTAATGTAAAGTAATATTTATATTATACCTATTTAATAAACATTGTTATTATTGTTAAGGTAATACGTAGAACGTATGCTGTTCTAAAATTAATACAGTTTCGGGTGACATGAAAGTTAAAACATTCCTTTTAATTTGATGTATGTACAATAATATGGGTTGTTCCTAGGTAATGTTAGGAGACATCTAATAAATTGTTAATACTTTTTTTTTGTATTGTGATAAATGACTTTTAAGACAGTATTTTCAATACAGATACGATATGTTCTAATAACGGTTTTAAAATTTTATTTGATATGCTAATGTCGAAAACGATTGTGAAATTTCATCGGTGAAATATCCATGATTAAAAGATATTAAATATTTATGTTTTCATTGATCTTTTTTATCTGTAATAGTTTCATAATTCATAATTTTGAAGTTTTTGACATTAATATGTTCAAATGAGAGTAGTTGGGTGAGCCTTATTTAATCATAATATAGTATTTTCAATATAAAACAATAATTTTAAGTATGCTTCCATTTTATAACTTAAGAAATGTGATACAATTTTCTGATTTGGAAATTTAAAAATATACATTTTATCGATAGATACAGATTGTTTAAATGTATTTATTATAAAATTATTAATTGTGATTTTTATTTCGGAAAATTATATGTTTTATTAAATTGGCTTCCATAAAACTTTGCCATTATTTCGATGCTTCTGCGAAATACATGAGGTAGGGTTTGCAAAAAATGTGTTAACATTTACTTTAATTGTCTGTATACGCCATATATAAATATGTTATGATAATATATGATTTGTCATATAAGACATTAAGCTAAGCCGCTTACGCTTCGATAATAATGTTATATAGAAAACTAGAGATTAGATTTTCGTATTCATTATGTAAGAATTGGTATAAATCGTGTTGAATTATCATTGCGCGTTTTTATTGTGTTTAATATATATACATCACGTGTTACATTTTAACCTGTCAGAGATTAAAATGTGACTCGTGATAATTTTTTTTCGGCGTAAGCATAAAAGTGAGTTTACATGTACCCTCATAGAACGCACCGAAAGAGTAGACCGAGCCGAAAGAATCGAACGAACCGAGAGAATCGTCTACTTCGTACTAAAATGTTGCCACTTCGTTTCGTTCGTCACGGTCGATTCTTCAGTATATGCCATATTTTGTACATTGTTGCCCAGATTCGTTACTTAATGAATACGCTATTTAATTAATGTCAAATGTGCCAATAAACGGACAGTCTCCTGTCGTTAGCCATATTTCTTGAAATAGTTTTTAGATGTATAAAAATATATTTTATAATTTTGATTATTTTATATATGTATGTACGTTTTCCATTTAATTATTTAGATTGATGGTAATAAATGATTCAATAATAAAATACGTTGTTGTTTTCCTTCGTGTGTATGTAACCCTATGTTATTAACTAGTCAAAAATTTATTTAGGATTTACATTCTGTAAAGTAAAAGTTGTTATTTCTTTGGTTAAAAATATATATATATATATATATATATATATATATATATATATACATATATATAGTATTCAGATTAAGCAATAATTAATTCCTGAAAACTTGATGTGCTAATCAATGTGAAGTAAAAACCACATTATGCAAGTAACTAGTATTATGAATACTTTTTATTGTACAAAATGACATGGACGTATATCAATAGTACACAACTAATATACAATAGGCGGCTTCATCGCTAGCTAGCTATTTCTCCCAGGCAATCAAGGTAATTCAAGTGCAATTTATAAATAGTAATCATACAGTCGGAATGATCTTTTCCAAAATTTGCAATAATAAGAAAATATTTAGAATTTGCTATCATCAGCCCTTTTACGTTCCCACTGCAGGGGCTCAGGCCTTCCTTATGGATGGTTAAGGAGGATAGGCCATGACCCTCCACGCTGGCCCAATGCGGATTGGAGGGTATTAACGACTGCAAATACAGCCGGGACCAACGGCTGAACGTGCTCTCCGAAGCACGGAGTATAACAATTTTTTGGTTACCCATCCCGTGACCGACCCTTGCGAAAGTTGCTTAACGACTACGATCATGGGCCGCGGCGCTAATCCACTACGCCACCGAGCTACTCAGAATTTGCTAAATTGCCTTTAATTTATATTGCAGAGATCATAATTTGCGAGCGCTTAGTACATAGGTAGTTTTTCCTACGGTTTCATAAATACTCAAAAATACTACACCGATTCTAAAAATTCTTTCATCTGCGGGAAGTTACATCATACGCGGCTGACATAGACTATAATATGCGCGGGAAAGTCGAGGAATAATTGTTAGTACACAATAAAGGTCTTAATATGTGTCAGACCTTTATTGTTCTTACTTAAGATCTTTATTGTTATAACCTATGTGTAAGCGTTGTGTAGTTACAGTGTTTTGTCTTTTATATTCCAACCAAAGTGACTTTAAAACAACGGTTATAAGTTTTTTATTAGCAAGGGTATAAATGTATGGTAAATTAATAACACAACGAGTCTCGGTATCGGTATCCATTAAAAAGGTAAAATCTAAATCACGTTTGTTGTTTTCTAATGAGTTGTTTGAAATTTTCGAGTTAAATTTTTCGACTTACTCATAAACTTTAAAAGCCAAATTAAGAGTGATAGTATGGTACTACTGCTTTAACGTCTTAATCTTTGCCAACAACCGTTTAGTTGGTAGTGGGAAGGGACATTTGACTCTAACGAAAAATAGCACTTTTAAGCTTAATAAGTCACAAACGGTTTACTAAATCAAAAACGGCCTTCCCATACCCCCAATGTTTTTGAAAGATCTATCCAACGATGCACCACACACCACTTTACACGTAGGGAAGGTACCCTAATTTTATTTACTTTACCATGTCGGCGAAATTAACGTAGTCATGCCAATTACAACTTTCTAGTACTAATAGTTTTTATGCTAAACCGCAGACGTTTACGACGGAACCCTAAAAAGTATATATTGTGAAAAAAAAAAACAATTCCACTCATTGACTTATTTTAGAATGTTTCTGATAGAAACACTTAGAAACTGACTTTTATAAAAAAACAATTTATTAATTATTTACCCTCCCCAACCGTGTTCTTCTTAATAAATTAATTTAAAAAAGCTTTTCTCGGGTCGTTCCCGGTGGTGCTTTCATTTAAAATATAGCCAATTTTATTCAGATATAATAGGTATTAACTAACCTAACCTAATTACATAAAAACGAAAGTGAGAACAATGATTATAATCAATTCAATTGACATAAAGGAGGCGAATGTTTATTATAATGAACTAACTTCCTGCCAGCGGTTTCGCCTGCGTGGTCCTGTATTATATATATACCTTCCTCTTGAATCACTCTGTTTATTGATGAAAATTGCGTTAAAACCCGTTGCGTAGAGTAAAAGATCTCAGTGCACAGATAGCGGGAAGTGATTTGTTTTTTTCATATTATAATAATGAATAAATGCCGTCCGTAGTAATCCGGTCATTTGCGGAACCGGTTTATGCGTAGTACGGTGGCAGACGGCTTGTCCGAGTTAGTCATCGGTTCGATGCGTAATCTACGACCGATACATATTGCCGGATCTTGTTGGTTATATTCATTGACTGATTTTTTAACTTATAATAGTTAGTTCTTCTCGACTTTTTCTGTGATAAATAAGTATCCCTTAAGAAGATAAAATAAATGTATAGAGTTACGTTACTTATATACGTTAATTATACTTTTTTAAACAGCAAAATAATTCTTTAGATAGCTCCTTGCTTCTTTAGATATGCTGGGTATATAAACTTACAAAATCCACTGCCTGTCTTTCAAATACTAGGGTAGGTGGACCGATTTTCGACATTTTAAGATTATGACTTGATTTTGGCCATTACTGGCAGTTGTCAATAGTTTAAGCTGTGATATAATTTTACAGTTTTTTAGAATGTTTTAAAATGCCAAATGGCCAAAAGGAGGGTTATCTGCCCTATTAATGCTTTTATATTATTTGGTACGACTTTTAAAGTGTTCCATAGTTGAAAGGGTGTTGTTAATTTTCATATTGTTTTGCCTAAAAAAATACTGTAATCAATACCAAATTTGTTTGGCAAATAAATTAACGTAAAAAAAGAGAGATTAGTTCAATATAATAAGCTATTGATATTAAAGCGTCAAATATTTTTCAATATTTTTTTTTTCATTATTCATTAAGCTTATTGTTAATATTGATAATTATAAACCACTACGCTAATTCACTCTTGTTAGCTCTTAGCTACAAGGTGACTCGTGAATTTTAGAGGTGATTCTGTATTATTTTTGTCGAGAGAATGTATCGTGCCTCTAAGTTATAACGTTGTGTAAGAGTAAATAAAAATCATTCCTCTGAAGATATAGTTTTCATTTTACTATTCATTGGGATATTATCGAATATTAAGAACGGTTTTGTGAATATTCAGTAGGAAATATGACTTACATTGAACCTATTGCTCTAAATCAGTATTCTCCACAGTTGCACAAGTCTAAATAGCTAATGTAAACACAAAAGAAATAATTCTGAAAGAAAAAATCACCAAAGAAAAAAGGTTCGTATGTTAGAAAACTCCATGAGAAAGTTTGTGAAAAATATTTAAGTATTGATATTTATGAGAAGAAAAATACAGAAAAAATACAATATAAAAAAAAATATGAATGTTTAAGCGAAATGTTCATTGTAGATCCTTATTTGTTCATAAGATGAAAGTAAATAATAACCTTCGTGGCCGTGGGCTCTCACTCAGGTTTCAAGGTCGCAATCTCTGAGGTAGAGGGTTAGATTCCTGGTTGGACAATATAAGAAGTGAACTTTTTTTTATATCTATTAATTTCGATACTAATAATATGAATGATTTAGCTTTTAACTTGGAATCTTAGCAATGTTTATGATGTTACTCATAAAAAGTAATGTGTTTTATGTATTTTTTTAATTATGTTTATATTTGGACCCATATTTTAAGAGGACATTATTACATATCCAAGTAAAGTAAACTGAAATTAATATACAAATGAAAAACTACTAAACCTGTTCGTTCGTATAAGAATAAGATTATTTGAGTATGAATTTTTGCGAGTACCTAAAAAAACTTTAGCTTCAGATGTAACTGCTTTGCTTAGAAAATGTTACGTAATCATCATACGGCCACATCCGTGTACATCCCAGTGAGCACCCGACAAGCGTGAGTCAGCCGGTCGTTCTGCCATATATCGGTCATCTGCGATGGTATCTCAGGTCACCCAACGGAAGCTCGACCGGCGAGAAAGCTGAATTTTTACGTAGCAACTCACAACGCGAGCAGTTTCCCACGGCATAGTATTAAGCGTTTGCGAAATTATTTTGAGTGTGACCAAGGTGATAATGACAATGGGGGTGGGGCAGATAACCGTTTTGGCCATTTTAATATTATTACTTGGTTTTGGCCATTTTATAAGTTACGGGGTAGTGAACTCTGACACGTCAAAGTCATCACCTTATTAGTTTTGTTATAATTCAACATTTTGAAGACCGTATATTGTTAGCTAATATATTTGCTTGCGTTAATTAGAACTCCGAAAATTGCAGACCGAAGGAGCTAACCATTTTATTTAATGCGTGTCACATAGTATGCTGTTGGGGTACAGTTTAGTTTCATTAAGCCATCTAGCTTTTCTGCCAATATACTTTTTTGCCAATATGATCAACTATGCAATGAGCAGATGCAGCTGGACCCCACGATTAAATTACTTTCATAGTTTTTGATCACCCATCTTGAGATTTTTAAAGTTGCTTAACTACCGCATCGGATACGCGCTTTTTGTCCTTTAAGGACCTCAAAGCGTTGTAGCTCACGCATAGGTAATTATATTACTTTATTTTGTATGGTCAATTGTAGAATTGTAACTAAACTTACACCATTGACAGCTGTGACGTGTAAAAGTAGACTTTCTCTTGACTAAAAAAATGGCCAAAACTAGGTCTTAATCTTAAAATCGCCAAAGCCGGATCGTCAACGTAGGGGAAATGCACTTTAAGTCTACCCTAAAAGAGATATAGTAAAATTCAATACCCAAACATATAAGACATGCTGACTATGATGTTCCAAAGTAGCACGTATATTTTAATCACTATTAAATGTATACAAGAATATTTTCAATAATACAAATAAATATTGAAGTTAACATGATACCAGCACATAATCGAGCACTCAGGTGATCACGACCAAATGAGCATTTCTAAATAATACGTAGTGCTATTAGAGGCGAGACTTCCCGCGTCGTGTCCGTGCGAACAAACAAACGGACACACGGGTCCGCGCTCGTTCACGGACGGAACAATGCACGGAAGAGCAGGCGCTGTAGGTGC